AGAGACTGTTGTACCAAGCTTTTATTTTCATACTGTGAGATTTTATTAATCTTATTGTTCATTTTTCTTTTTCAGCAGTGGTAATACATTTTTTTGCCTTTGTACCAGAGTAGTACCCGTTGTAATCACACTTATTTCGAGTACTTTTGGGTGGAGAGTGAACATGTAGCAGAAGGCAGTTCACTGATTTTTTCCACACACACCACCCAAATGAGACCATGAGTGCAGTGATGGCAAAAAGTATGTACAGTGGATTAGGGATGTCTCATTTGGGCAGAACAGGATCTAGTGTTTGTCATGCTCACAATAGTTTATCTGTTTCTTTTTAGTGAGTGTCATGGTAAATAAAATGTATGGTGTCCACAGAAACAATTACTCACAGTTTCTTTGTGCATCAGGCTGTGGTAAGGTAATATGACTAAACTGCTTAATCTTAAGGTTTTTCCTCAAAGAAACACCTCTGATAGGCAAAACCTTTGTAAACTGTATGAAACAGATTTCTGTAATGAATGTTTGGGATACAAGTCATGTTATTGCCTGGAAATAAATACATAGTGTCTCAAGGTTTTCTGTAATGGGAGAAGCTCCAAAGTCTGAGCAGCTTTCTTTGTTTTGAGGCCTTACAGATAAGAAGAGTAGTCTAGTTCTTTTAGTAATCAGAGACACAGGCGTTGCAGGAGCTGACTTGGAAAAAAAACCAACCCAAAACAAGAAACCACCGTGCAGCAGCAGTTTCTCTCTGTTGCCATCAGCAAATGAACCGTATTTATTTTGCAGATTATTAGCAACAGGGAGTGGCAAGGTGAGTAGTTTGTGTAGCAGAGTGGGAGACAGTGGGAAGTGTCTTTCAAGCAAAATAGTTTCAAAGGTGAAAAGTGAATGTTCACATGGGTATGTTTGTCTGTTTGTATTTGGAAAAACACTGGATAGTGAAAAGTGGATATAATGAGAGAAGTTTGTCTGGATAAAAATATAAACACAGAAACAGGAGAGTTCTAGGTAAAGATAAGAAGGTCGGTATTTGAAAACTGTAGAAGTGAATGAAAAATGTTGTTAGAAGCAAACAAAAGCCATTTTGTGTTGGTGGAGCTGCTAGTACCTAATAGCCAGGAGACTTACGTAAGAAAACTGATTATACTTGTACCAGACTGATGAACTGTTGAAACATCTCAGGTTTGATGTCTTATTTTGATATGAAATACGTGGCATCTTTTTAGGATGTTTTTCCATATGTATTATATTGGAATAAATGCAAATTGCAACACCTTGTTGAAAACAGATCTAAGGTGAATTTCTTTCATACAGACCAGTACTGGACTTCTTCATGCTCATAGACACTATTTTAAAAGTCTACCAACTATAAGACAACCTGGTTTTCTTCCTGGTGTTGGCCAGAAGAGGGGAGAACTATACCTTCCACTATTGGTGTCTTTTATCTCACACTAGTAAAGTGGACAGATAATGATCATTGCCTTTTATAGGGCCTTTCTGTAATCTTTACAAATAACAGTTTGGGATGTACTGGATAGAAATTAAGTTGGAATTCTTGAATACAAGTAGCAAGTGAAGATCAAGGTAGAGGAAACATTTAGGTGATGAAAAAACTTTTGGGGATAATTTACTCATTATTTAATGTTCCACAGCTCATTTCTATTTTACTTACTCATGCGGTTTGTTAGGTCCTAGCTGTAGTTGATGTGTTCCATAAAGATCTACTGTCAAATGCTCCTTGTAAAGCAAAGCCAAAGAAAAAGATTTTTTGACAAATTATGTTCTGATTCTGGTTAAAAATTGTAGAGAAAGTTGGGTAGTCCTTGTCTGTGGGCATAAATCTTAACCATAAAGAAGGGGAAAGGGAAGCCTTTTAAAGTTGGCTGGGAAGAGAACTTTCTAAGAAACGATTGGCTGAGCTCAAAGGCTTAGAAATTACTGTGGTGTGTGTTTTGGGTTATCATTCAATTTCCCTCTTGCCTGAAGAATTTTCAAACATGAGACAGGAGATTTTAGCAGCTGAGTAATTTGATAGATAAATGCTGAAAAGCTGAACTGATGCCAAAATCACAAAATTTGAATTTTCTTCCCAAATAAACAGCTTTAAAAAAATGTTTCTAACTGTGCAAAGTGGATAGCAGTGATCAAGAAAATTAAAGTCCCAGTTGGATTCTGCTTTAGCATTTCATTTTGTTGTTTTTAGGATTTTTAAACATGTCATTCACATTTTGCAGTAATTTAACTTGTCCTTTGATCATAGTATAAAGGAAAGGGACAACATGGCACAAATTTAGCAGTCCATCTTCCAAATATCTTTGCAGAGAACTTATGCAAACAGTAAATAGAGGGGTAATCATGACTAACTGGAAAAAGATTGTTCCATGCTTATATAATGGTGAAAGTATTTCAGCTAGTGGGAAGATGCTAAGTCTAGTGGAGAAAGAAGTGCTAATTGAGAGTAAAGTGGCATAAAGTCTATGAGAGGCTTCTGTAAAGTGAGTGGTCGAGTGGTCACTAAAAGTGTTCCTCCACTGTATACAGAGAGACACACACCCCCCATCCTGGATGACAGTAAAATCAGTCAGTATCTAAAGAGCAGGTTATTTCTCTAAGCCTCTTGAGAGGGAGGAGAGGAGAGAAAAAAGCAATGAGGATGTGTAAGTCGGTAATCTTGAGCTCCACTCAGTGGAGGAGAAACAGTGGTATAAACATAACGGTGGGCTAGTTCAGGTGTGCCACCAGTGGGACAGTTAATGCAAAAGACTTAAGGATTTTTAAGGAGAAGACCCCCCCTAGAGTTCCTCTTTTGTGAGTAGATTAAGGCAACAATGATCATCCATTCATATACTTAATGAAAATACAACATCCTAGAACAATGTGCTTTATAACCATTTTTCTTATTTTTTTACAGCTACTTTTAACTTTGCAAATTTACACTTTTCAGTTTTTACACAAGACTGCTGCTTGGTTTTGAAAATCCCAGAAAAATACTAGCATTGTCAAAAACTCAAAACATTAACCACAAAAACCTGACAGTGTGACTTTCTTAATTAATTTGGGCACTTCCTGTCATGGATTTTCTCAGTTTCAAAGCCTATAACTGTATCACATGTTCTGTGAGTTGTTGTGCCCTGTGCTGATCAATGTATAGAAACAGATAGTTAACGGAAAACCAGCATGCATAGGCTTTGTTTCCACATTCAAATTCCTGTATTTTGGTCATCTAGTTGTTTTTTGATCATATGAGGAAAAAGAGTGCAAGATTCCTGGGAAAACAAGGATCAGCAAAGCACAGTTTGGAACTGCACCCTGATTCTTACGAATGTGCCGTAGAAAGTGAACCACAAGCCAGATAAGCTGTTCAGGTGTCTCAGTTCATTGACTTAAGGTTAGATACACTTAAGGAATAAAAATAATATTCTAAAAACAGCTTGGTGGGGAGAAAACCCACATTTTTTGTTAATTTTTTTTTTTGTTAGCATTAGGTAAAATGTATAATGTACGTTGTAATGCTGCTTTTTTTACAGCCTTTTAATGTTCAACTCTTAGGAGCTTTGGACTCCAAGCTCTGATAAAGTTGTACAAGAAAGGTTAGGGCATGTTAACAGATTTTTCTAAAGCTTAAAATCAAAATCTAACTGACTATTCTAGTGATTCAATGAACTACTTGTCAATTTAGTATATAAAACTGTACCTAAGAGATCTTAGTTTCTTAAATTTTTTAGGGATGATGAGTTGAAAGTAAGCTCATCATTTCCATCAACAGATAATATAGTCTTCATAAATAAGTTAAAAATAAGCTGTGTGAAAATTTAATTAAAAAAAAAAAGTTAGCATTAAATTATTGTCTCTAAAAGCTGTTTGATGTAAATCCAGTTTAAAGAATCAATCTAGAGCCTCATTCACATTGCCTAAGTGACATTAAAGTTGGCCACTTGAATAGGTTGCAGTATTGCAATGGTAACTGCTTACCTGTTACATTTAAAGCTTCTAAACATGCTTCCAAACAACTTCTCTAAGTGTTGTTTTCCATTCATTTCCAGGTGGTTCTGAATAAAAAATACTAAGAAATAGAAAGGAAAAGCTAGGTCTTCATTGTGGAATTCCTGCATTTGCTAATGTGCCCTGGTTTATTGTGATTAATTGCCTGTATTTTGGGAACAAATGTATTTTTGTAAATAATAGATGATTATCTAAAAAACTGATGAAATAGTGCTAAGATTATCTTCAATGTCACCTGTAAGAAGTTATTTTTAAAAATAAGTCATTTCCATACAGAACCTTAAAATAAATCTTATCTTGTCTGGTCTCAAATAACAGCTGCTCAGGAAACAGGTTTTTTTCTCCTGCTTTTGGTGGGAGACTTTTCTCTTTGGGTTCACAGCTTGTAAGTTTTCAACCAATCATCTAGCCTTAAACAGTGGAGACAAGCTGGGGTGTTTTGCTATGGCAGGAATAGAAAAGTCAAGGTCATCTGCTAGCATATTACTCCCTTTCCTCTCCTCTGAACACTACAGAATGGTAACTTTGACATAAGATGTTATCACAGTGTAAGTCCTTGACACTGTTCTCCTCACATCAGGGAAGCTAGTGTGCACTGTCAGTAAATTAAGTTCAGAAATACAGCTGTAAAGGGTTATATATCAATATTTGGAAATGCAGCTCTTCCTGTTGAATCAAAAGGGCATACATTAATATGTGAACTAATTCTGCTGCTCAGCTGTTGTTTACAGTTGGGTAGCTGTGTATAACTAGTATAGCCAGATAATTCTTAGGGAGTAATACATATTTAAATTAAATGTATGCCATTAGGTTAACGTAATAGTCTTTCTTCAACCCTATAACTAGCATACTAATTTATACAAATGCTAACATGGTCAACTGCTGCATGTTCCCAGTGCAATTCTTAGACAAGTTTCCTAAATGCAAAGACACTGTTATTCTTTGTTTAACTGCTGCCCTCAAGATCTGATTTTACAGTCTGTATTTGTGTATTGATTTCTAGGTTTCTTTATTCAGATGAAGTTCAAATTGGTCCAGAAACAGTCATGACTACTTTATACACTGCTAAAAAGTATGCAGTCCCAGCCCTGGAAGCTCATTGTGTGGATTTTCTAACGAAGCACCTCCGAGCAGATAATGCCTTTATGCTGCTTACTCAAGTAGGTAAATTTAAGCTTAGCTTTTTTTTACTAGGAAGATCAGTATTTAGAGGGAAAGGACTAAGTATGACTTCACAGTGGGTTTGCAGTCACATAGTCTAATTTAGGTACGAAAATGTTGTGTTGCTCTGTTAGCATTTTTACAAACTCAACTTCTTTTTACTGTAGAGAAAGGCTTTTTTTAAAAAAAAAAAAAAAAAAGTATGCAAAGAACTGGGACATTTTAAATGGAACCAGTTCATTCTACAGTGTATTTTCATGAATCTCTTAATTGTTTTTTTGTGAAGACTTACTTGGTTCATTATAGCGGATTTTATGTGTACTTTTTTTAGTAGTGATTTTAGTAGGGAATTCTCCTTAATTATATACTCCTTTGAGAATTTAAGTGCTCCTTAAGATATAAACACAAAGAGTACTTAGACAAATAATCCTATTTTTAAATTAGATCTGTACTAGACTAAAAATACTTGCTTTTTAAGACTAGTGGGTTGTCAACTTTATGCTTAAGATGTGTTTCTTCACCTTTTTAGGCCCGTTTGTTTGATGAACCTCAGCTTGCTAGTCTTTGTCTTGACACAATAGACAAAAGTACTATGGATGCAATAAGTGCAGAAGGCTTTACAGATATTGATATAGGTAAGTTACTCAATGTGTTCTAAGCACTAAACTCCTGAAGAGAACTGCAGGCTGCAAGAAGACGTTTTTATGGATAGTTCACCTTCCCCACCTGAGTATGTGGAGTCCCAAGTGCATCTTCTCTCCATGGTAAAGTGGGGTAGTTCACTTCCCCCTCATCTGCACCACCTTTGCATGGGCAGCAGTGCAACAGCCAGCTGCAGATCTCGGAATGTGGACAACAGAACCTGTGTCATATCAGCAAGTTTGCTAATGAGCAAAACAGTGTATTGCATATGTATGATATGTTACTCAGTGCAAGTTTTATTAGCCATCCCTGCAGTGCTTTCCTTTGAGCTTCATTCCCAAGCAGGGTTTCAGTGTGTTGGGGCTCCCATTATGGTAACACCACACTTTCATTAAAGCCAGAGTTTTTACTTGCTGAGTATTGTGCCTGGTCCCAGAGGCATCCACACCTGCTTTTCATGTGTAGCAAGAATCATTGTTTTGTTGTTGTATGGTGCTTCTCTATTCAGAGTTGCACAGACCAGGTACAATTTATGAAATCTGATGGGTTTTTTTTTTAAATCTAAGCTGCTGGTTTCTATGTTTCATCTTTTCTGAAAAGGTAGTAGTTGCAAATTTGCTGACTCAATTTCATTTTTACTGTATGTGTCTAAGATTTTACTCCAATTCAGCTAGACTGTGTAAAAAATGCAGGCTTAAGGAAGGTACTCCACCAGCTTAAAGGAATTATGGAGTAGATATATAGAGAAATATAGATCTATAGTAGAAATAGAGAGAACTCGGGTTCAGTGGGGTTTGTACCCAGACTGTGAGTGTTAATCTCTACTCTTTGTAAGTCCCAAATTGCTTTGACTTTCCAATATGGTATTTTTTATGATCACAAACATGCCTTGCTTAAATTCAGGGCATATAAAGATTCTCAAAGAAGACAGAAGATTCAGAATATGAAAATGGGTTTTTTTTCAGGCTTGTGTTCTACGATTAACTGACTTTTGCATACCTGGTAGTTAGAAAATTCCAGAATTAATAATACATGACAACAGAGTTTTGTAAAACTCATATGAGTATCTTGCCTCACCTCCTATGTTCCACCTTCAGGCTTTGTGGGTGGCAAATACGTCAATGTTTAGGATCACTTTCATGTATCTTTAAACTGGTTTTGTGTGCACCACTGCTGTTTGTTTCTATAGTTGATCCAGATTGTCAGGTGGCTACTTGGAGGAGAATATGGCAATGTCATCATGATTAACTTGTTTTTTTGGTAGTGTGTATTCATTGCTTGCTCACTTCCCATTTTCATCTTTTCCTAGCTGTGGAAATTCTTTAGGATACTGGTTGTCACTACATAAATTATAGATAGTCACACTCCTAGGAATCAAGAAGGAAGTTCATATCCTGTCTTCATAGCAAGAAAATTATTTTTAGAGTCTATATACTATTGGGAGATTTCTTATTAGGAATGTTCTTAGTGTTTACTTAACACTTGAAGATTAATGTGTAGCAGTGTTACAGGTTTGGGTGAAAACTGGTCTAAATCTACCTTTTTTTTTCTCTAGACACACTATGTGCAGTTCTAGAAAGAGATACCCTTAGCATTCGAGAGAGCAGACTCTTTGGAGCTGTTGTTCGCTGGGCAGAAGCAGAATGTCAAAGACAACAACTACCCGTGACATTTGGAAACAAACAAAAAGTCCTTGGAAGAGCTCTTTCCTTAATCCGTTTTCCATTAATGACTATTGAAGAGTTTGCAGCTGGTGAGTTTTGGGGTTCCTTGTCTTGCTGTTAGTCCATAGCCCTGCACTGTTCACCTGTGAGTGCTGAGGTGCTTAACACTCTATTACTAGTCCATGCTAATAGAAGTTACGATGCATAAATGAAAGCAAAACATTCTGCAGAATATTCTCTGGCCTTTGGAAAATACTGTTGTCATCCCCAGTTTGCAAATGTGTGTGGTTTAAATTCAACAGTTGGAGTAATTCTTTGAATCATCTTAGTTGTTTCTTTTCACAGGCCCTGCTCAGTCTGGAATCTTGTCAGATCGGGAAGTAGTAAATCTCTTTCTGCATTTTACTGTCAATCCTAAACCTAAAGTAGATTATATTGATCGACCAAGGTGTTGCCTGAGAGGAAAAGAGTGCAGCATTAACAGGTTCCAGCAAGTGGAGAGTCGCTGGGGCTACAGTGGAACAAGTGATCGGATTAGGTACGGCTTTTGAAACTGCTTGGAGGAGAGACAGAGGAGTGTGGGAAGAAAGGGAATGTGTTGCTCAACTTTGACTTTTTGGCATAAGATACAGTAACAAGGTGCTGGTTCTGTTTGGGCATGTTTGATCTTTTCCTTTTTATAAAATAAGTTAGACTGTTGCTGACATAAAGCATAAAGTACCAAAAAAAAAAGTTCAGGAGGACTGGGTGCATTTTAGAGTGATTGGGTGTTAGACGTATATTCCTTTTTAAAATACCAAGTCTTGTTCTGTTTTTACTTTGGAGGTATTCAAAAGAACCAGGTTAGGGTTTTTTTTAGTGATACTGAGTATCTTGGGGGATTAGCAAAATTTTAACCTGTGAAGCTGATACTTTATAATGCATTTTTCTTACTATTGAAATCTAATTAGAGAGTGTTATTGAAAAAAAAAATTAACGTAATGTCACTTTAGTTTACTTCCCTACTCTTAAGTGGGAATCTTTTTCCTACTTGACAGGGAATGAAGTAACACACCTGTCACAATTTTTTAAATTCCTTTCTTGGGTTGTGTCATACTAGGTTCACAGTTAATAGAAGAATTTCTATAGTGGGATTTGGATTATATGGATCTATTCATGGACCCACAGACTATCAAGTTAATATACAGGTACAGTATATGCTCTTTAAAGAGGCTTATGCAGAAACCACACTTGTAGTCCTTGCAGAAGGTTTGTTGTGTATTTTAATTGGGTAGGAGTGAGACTGATAGGCCAGAATCTAGCCTGTGTTTTGTCCCCAGCAGTGGTCATAAGCAGATAACTAGAGAAAAGTATGAAAAAGATGAAATTTTCTCTTTCTGTGTGTTCTGCAGTCAGTATAAGCATTTTCTGAGATGGATTTAGTTTCTCTGTTTCGTAGCTTCCCTTCAGGATACTTCTCCAGTCTAACCTTGAATTCCTGTCAGCTTTCTGCAGACAAATTTCATAGCTTTGTCATCTGTTCAGTTGTGCACAAAGCCTACCCTTTAATAAAGTTTCTAGTAATTAGGAAAGATCTTTGATCAACAGCTCTCTGAAATCAGTGACACAACACATAGTGGCTGCTAAAAAAGCCCACTGTGTCATCAGGAAGAAACTGAAAACAAGATTGAAGGTCAGATTGTGTTGTTGTATCAAAGCCAGGTGTGCCCACATCTTCAGTATTTTGTGCAGTTCCCATCTTTCTCAGTAGAATTAGAAGGTAGGGAATATGGTAGTTAACATGATTAAAGGGACAGAGCTGCTACCGTACAGAAACCAAAAAAGCTAAGACTCTTCAGTCTGTAGGGAAGAAAGCACTGAGGAGGTGTGAGCAATGCTGCTAAAATCTCAAGGGCAACAGATAAGGTAAATGCAGAAGTGTTTGTCATTCACCAAAGCTCAGAATATTAGAACTAGAAGACTTACTGATACTCACAGAAGATCAAAACAGATAAGAGTATTTTTTCACTGCCGAGGATACTGAACATACTGCCAGAAGAAGTGGGTATCATGTCTTCAGTTTGCTGGCATTTCAACATGTTCACTCATCAAACAGCAGATCTTTTAGAAGATTCCAGAAGGAGCAGAAGGGGGATGTGCACTGTAGTACCCCATGTAGAACAGCTGTGGGTGCTGGGGTATGGACAGCACAGCCCAGGCTTGTGTGCTCAGCATCATCTTCTCTTGACACTGTCACAGCATCCTGGACCATTTGTCTGACCCAGTTGGCTGTTCATGACATTCTTACCCTGGTACACATGCTGGGGCTTAGAGGCTTGTCCTTGCCCAGAGCTTTTTGGAAAGATTGACATCTTACTTGCTACTGATTCAGTCTTAGGCAGAAGGTTGTATGTTACTGCTACAGTAACTACTTCTGTGAAGTTCAGTTTTAAGTTTGCTGAAAACGTCCCAGCATGGGAATCTCCCCAGTTTCTTCTGCTGGCAAATTACTTACTTGTATTGCTGTTCTCCAGGCTCCTATGTGAAGACCTTACTTTGCTGCTGCTCAGTTATCATATCTTCATGCTGTCTAGCTCACAAGACAGTCTGTGGGGCTTTCTGTTACTGCTGTGTTGAAAGAATGATTTAAGGCTGCTTTTTGATGCCTTCAGATAGCTGTTCCTAAATGTTCTTTTCACCTTTAACTGTATCTTTTACATTTTAATCTGTCAGTTTTAATCTTTCCATTTTAATCTGGATAAAATGTCATTTTTCTATAGGATGACCTTTTTTGTTTGTTTCCAGGAATAGCCTCTTGTTGATCAGCCATGCCAGTTTTTTTCCCCTTTTCTCAAACCTTTCCTAATAGGGGATATATACTGACACTGTTCTTTGGCATGTGATGTCCTTCAGTGATCTGCATGCTGTTTATAAGGATTTGATATTCTTAATTGCTCCTTTTAGCTTCTTTTGAACAAGCCTTCTCATTTTCTCTTCTTGAAATTTAGCACAGCTGTGGTGGATTTGCTTTTGTTGTTCATGTGGGAGTTTTGACTCTAAGTATATTATAGACACTGTTACATAGTGTTTCCATTATGAAATTTTGAATCTGATCCTACTCATCACTCAATACCAAATCAAGGGTTGTGTTTCTTCCTACTGAGCAATTGGCTAGCAAGCTCGTGAAATGGTCAGTGATAGCATCTAAAAATGTCACCCATGCTTCACGTCCTGATATGACACTTGACCAGTCTGAGCAGGTAAATGAAGACACTACTAAAATTTTTATTTCCTGCTCTTGTAGCCTGTTTGGTCTCTTAGCATGTTGTAGTCAGGACTGTCTTATAGTAATATTGATCCAGCACTGTATTTTTATTAAGTATTGAATTTCAGTCCATTTAAATTCTTTCTTACTGAGATAAGTTTTGAATCTAAGCTTTCTAACAAGGTACTAGCATTCTGTGACTGGCAGTTTTACTCTATGTATTTCATAACCTGTTACTATCACATCACATTGATTTATTAGGGGTGTGGGAAATCTTGTGAAAGAAGAATCTGTGACTTCATTTATGGACAGAAACTCTTAGTGTCCCTGTCTAATTTCACAGGCCTCTAATATGTGCTGGAACTGCTGTTTTGGTTCATTTCTGGGCATCCTATGTAAATGACAGTTTATCTTTCTCCTATTTCCTATTTGATGATTAACATTCTCTGACCATTCTGCACTCAAGGATAGGAATTTTGTATCTGGAGAATGTATCTGGAATGAAGTCTGGAAGGAACTTGTTGGCTTTTCCACATTCCTCAGCTTAAAAGCTCACTTTCAAACTCCTTGATTTGAAATGCCATCAAACCATAAATCCATGTAAATAAGTAGCACAGTGCACTAGACTGGATCTTTAGAAAAAAAGAGTTGATGCTGAGAACCTAGCAGCTATACGGTACATATCTGGTGATGTTTGCTTTGCATTAACTCTTGTTGGATCATCTTGCCTAAATTCCTGTTAGCAGATGAAGGCATTTTTTTTGTGCTCCCTCAGCATGTTTGCTGTATTTATTTCATCTGCAAAGAATTTAGTTCTTACAAGGCAAACAAAAGCATAGTAAGTGGGAATGATTAAGAGTTTCACTTGAAAAAACATGCTCCTTATTCAAAGTGAAAGGCTAAGGTATGTTTATGGTTCAGATGAAGAGCATCCATTTTATACATCTCCTCTTGAATCTGGAAGTATCCCCAGTTCCTGATAAGTCTGAAACTTTCTTGTCACAGTCTTTTCAGATGGGTGTCTAAGTGTTGTGTCTCTATCTTTCTTTTTGGACCCGCATCAGTACTAGCAGAGCTTCAGAGAGCTAAACATCTTATACTGGTCTTAAAACAGTGATAATGTATACTGGAAATAGATCTTTTATGTGAAAGGGTCTTAGTTTCAGCATTATAATTTCTATTGATTGTGGCTGGGGAAAAATAGGGCTTCATCTCAATTGTGCAACATTAAAAATTATATGGAAATTTAATAATACTAGGGGTTTTTTAGGATTCTCATTAGTGCAGTAATCATGAGAAATGTTCATGTCACTCTAAAGCTCTGATAGCCAACTGCAAGTGGTGTTTGGCAGCATGGATCAAGGTTACTATCCAAAATGAGAAGTGAGATATCTGCTGTTACTACATCTTAGTGATTTCTATTCACCATCAAAATCAAAGGCAAAAGAAATAATGCGTAGTCTGTATGTGTAAGACATAGCAGCACAAATTTCCATTTTCCTTTAAGAATGTATCATTGACTGCTTATATTAGCTGTTAAAAACTGGTTTTCTAAAATAACCACAGCCACAAATGTGCTTCCCTTGTGTGAGCTGCAGAGGTGTACAAAGATCAGCAAATCTAATATGTGTACTATAAGAATCTTTGTCAAGCTTGTAAACCCAAAAATGCTGTTTTCATGTTTTTATACAGATAATTGATTATGAGAAGAATCAAACACTAGGACAAAATGATACTGGATTTAGTTGTGATGGAACGGCCAGTACATTCAGAGTTATGTTCAAGGAACCTATAGAGATCTTGCCAACTGTTTGCTACACAGCTTGTGCAACACTGAAAGTAAGAGCACCTAACAGTACAGAAGGAAATGTTACTTGATGCAAGAGTTCTTCTCTTACTGTCTTCTGATGGGAGAGTGTCTTCTAGATCTCAAATTGATTTTAAGTGTAGAGATAAGAACACCATAGTTCAACTCCACAGCAACTCTTAAGACTGCTTCCTCTCTTCTGTGCCACAGCACAGAATTCCTAACTGGATCCTTTGCGCCTGCCAGTTTTCTGGCCTGGTGTAAGAGTTAGAATGAGTGCAGATGAAAGATAGTGGGTTTGTGTGAGCAAAAATGCTATCCAAAATTTTAATCTAGCAGCTTTCTGTCAAAATTTAAGTTTTATTTATTTCATCAAGGATATTCTAACCACTAGTTAGAGTCAAGAAAATGGAAAGGGTTTTTTGTTCGCTTTTTATGTGCTAGTGCAGAAATATAGGAAAGAATTATTTGTTCAAGGAAAATCTCTCCTTAATGTCATGGACAAATTTATTTAATGTTTTCTCAAAAATCTTTTCATATTATTTTAAATATAATTGCCTTTACAGAAATAAAAATTGAGTATGTTGGAAAAAATGTTGCACATTAAAAGAAGCTGAGACAAGGAACTAAGTGAGAACATATACAACCTGCATGACAAGGAGAAATACTATTCATTACTAGTTGGCTTAAATCAAGTGGTTTAAGTGTGCTGTCAGGGAAGGTTTTTGTTGTTTAGACATAGGGCACTTGCTTCTTGTCTGTGAATGTTGTGTATATCTTACGATGTGGGTAGAAAGGACCTGTACTATTAAAATAACCTAAGTCAGTAAGTGTTTGAATTTCAACATGTTAGGGGTCTTGCTGCACACCCATTCATTGCTGATCTCTTCTGATGTTTTCAGGGTCCTGATTCCCATTATGGAACAAAAGGTTTGAAGAAAGTGATCCACGAATCTCCTACTGCTAGCAAAACATGCTTTGTCTTTTATAGTTCACCAGGTAACAACAACGGTACATCAATAGAAGATGGACAGATACCAGAAATAATATTTTATACATAATTTCACATTATCATCTCAAATGTGCCAGTGTATCCGTGGACTTCAGCTCACTATTGGTGGCAGTTAAAAATTCTGTGAAAGAAGTACAGGAACATGTGGAAAACAAAAGTTACTTGTTTGAGCGGTACCAGACAAGCTATTTTCTCTGCATCTTTATTGGCAGAATGTAATTTAGCTTTTCCTCTTCAAGTGGAATAAGTACTCTGTATATTGAAAATATTATTTTAAATAGTATCTTGTTAAAATTGCTTTGAATTTTCGCCTCTTCATTTTTCATGTAGTAAAACTCATTTTTCAAACTGGAAGAACTGTCATGAACTTCTCCTGTCCTGGAAAGACAGTAAAGCTGCTGTTGTGGTCCCAGCCTATGCTTGTTTCCAAAACATGACACATTGGAATGACTCTATGGACACGAATTGCTACTATATTTTTTTGCAGAGCATCAGCAAAGCTGGATTCCTTCTGCTATCATCTGGACTGTTGGGATGTGCCAGGGAGAATGCAGACAGCAGCTGCAGCTGCACTGAAGAAATACTAAGTCAAATTCAGCCATAAACAGATCGTTCCAGAATCTCAATTCAGAAGGGCTGTTTTGGAACATAGAGCTGGTTATGGAAATAGCCACTGTGTGTGTGTATATATATATTTGTGCCTGTAAGAAAATGTATCAACTAAGGCCTGGTTTTGCAGGTTGCATACAGTAGTTGGATGCACTGATGTATGTACATAGCATTGTCTTGCAACATGTGCAGTGTACCAGTACAGCTCTCTCATGTACAAAACCCTGTACACAAAGGATATAGTAAAGTACTAATCTGAGAACATGGGAGAAAAAAACAATAATCCCTCCTGTTTCCCCCCTTCCCTGCAGCGAAGGGCGCGCGGCTCTCGGGTCTTTGAACAAGCCCTGTGGTTCGGACCAGCGCTCTTTCTTGAGCGGGGCTATTCCAGCCGTAGGGGCCCGTC